TTCCTCTTATTACTGCTTTTGCTGAGTCCCACAGGTTATGGAAACTTATGTACTCATTGCCATTGGTTTCAATGAATATTTTTATTTTAGTCTTATTTTTTTTCCAGTGGTTGCAAAGTCATTCAGTAGTATATTTTTTAGTTTCCATATGTTTGTGTATTTTTTGAGGGTTCTTTCTGAGATTAATATCAAGTATAATTCCATTTTGTGTAGAGTAGATGCTGGAAATAGCTTCTATACCTATAAATCTGTAAAGACATGCTTTGTACCCTATCATTTGGTTAATCTTTCAAAATGTTCAATGAGAGGGCAAGAAGAATGTATATTTGTGGTTGTTGGATGGATGGTTCTATAGCTTTCTCTCAGGTCCAGTTTATGTATGACATTGTTTAGATCTTCTCTCTCTCTTTCTCTCCTTTTCTCTTTGTTGTCTAGATTATATGTCCAAGAGATAGTGGGGTGTTGAGATATTCAACAATTAGTGTGCTGTAGTCTATCTCTCCTTTTAGAATGAACAGTATTTCCTTCACATTTTTAGTACTCCTGAGTTAATTGCATAGATATCTATAAGGATTATATCTTCTTGGTGAATTAGCCCTTTTAGTACTATAAAACGTTCTTTTTGTCTCTTACTATTTTAATCCTACAGGTTCTTTATTCTGAAATCAGTATCACAACCCAGACCTTTTTCTGGTTCCCATTTGCATGGAATATCTTTCTCCAGCCCTTCACTTTTAGTCTATGCATATCATTATCCATGAGGTGTGCTTCTTGTAGGGAGCAAATAGGTGATTTCTGTTTTTTAATCTATTCAGCCAGTCTGCATATCTTGATTTTAGAAATTAATATATTAACATTCAAATTATCAATATTTGCCAGCTTATCCCTACTATTTTGCTAGCTGTGTACTTGGTTATTTTTTGCTGTCTTATTACTGTCTGTCTCTCATTAGTTTTCCTGTTATAGTACTCTCTTCAGTATTTTCTGAAGAGCTGATCTAATTATTGATAAATTCTTTCAGCTTTTTTAAATTTATTTTTTAATCTGGGAATGTTTTTTGTCTTTCCTTATCATATGAAGGACAATTTTGCTGCTCATATTATTCTTGGTTGAAAGGATTTTTCTTTATTTTATTTATTTTTTTCTAGAGAGATTTTTGATATGGGTGCACGTGCTTACAGGAGAGATGGAAAGCGAGAAGTGACTACCCTTGAGCATGGCCACACCAAAATTCCTTCTCCTCAACTGTCCTCTAGGGATCTTGGTCATGTATGCAAACATGCTCGGTGTGAGTTTTAAGCCACCAGATCTGAGATTCAAACCATGGTTGACTATGTTGATATTAATTAATGTAACCATTATACTATCTGCTGGTCCCATAATTATTACTTTTTAAAGCTTTGAATATATCTTCCCATGCTTTTCATGCTTGCATTGGTTCTGTTGAGAGTTTCCATGTTAGCCTAATAGGATAATCTTTGTAAGTAACTTGATATTTCTCTCTTGCCATTTTGGAATCTTAAGTTCATCTGTGATTTTGGCCAGTCTAGCTATGATATGCTATGGAGAGGGTCTTCTTAGGTTGATGCTGCTTGAGGTCCTTTGTATTTCTTGTGTCTGAATATTTCAAAGTTTCTCTAGGTTTAGAAATTTTCAAGTATTTAATGGAATACATTATCAATGCTCTTGTTAGATTTTTCACCTTCTGGAATAGGACTCATTCAGATGTTTGGAGATTCATGGTATCTAGTATTTCCTGCATGTTATTCTAATTTTTAAATTACTTTTTGTTCTTTTTGGATATTTTTTTCTATGTAGAGATTTTTTTCTTCTAGATTTGATATTCATTCTTCTGTATAATCTAATCTGCTATTAATACTTTCCAGGGAGGTTTAGATGAACTGTATTAAGGTCTTCATCTGTAACAGTTCCATTTGTACCCTTTTTTTTTCCCCTTATGGTGTCTATTTCTTCTTTCAAATCATGGAAGATCTTCTTCATTTCCTGGAGTTCATTATCTCTTTACTCTTGCAACTCATTTAGTTTTATTACTATGAATATTCTAATTGTCTATCTGACATTTCCATGAGATCTACTGTGCTGTCTCTGGATGATGAACAGTTGTTTTTTTTCCCTTGAGGGAGAAATATTTTCCTGGCTTTTCATAGTTCTTGTGTCTCTGTGCTGATTTCTGGTTATCTGATGAATTCAATCTTTATTCCTAATTTCTATAATTGATTTTGAACTGTCAGAAAGATAAGCACTCTACTTCTATTATGTGTTCTGTGGAGAAGACCTCATGTTCTCATCAGAGAATGGTGTATGTATCTAGCTCGAAGTGCTTGGTTCCTCTCAAAGTCTCTGGACGAGGTGTACCTGGAGCTTACTTGGAAGATATAACTGAAGGAAGACATAAAATATGAACTTTCAGTGGACACCAGGTATTCTTAAAATCACTGGCAGGGGTAGGTGACCTTTGGTTTCCCTGTAGCTCCATCACTCATCACTCTGTGGCTATCTCTCCAATGTAGCTAGAATTCAGAAAAATTCAATGATGTACGGGGATGAATGGGACCCAGGAAACCATAAAATACACACACCTTAGAGTTGAAGGGTGAGGATGTGAGCTGCACTCTCTCTGCAGCTCTGTCACTTATCCCAGAGAGACTTGCTCTCCATTCTAGCTGAAACTGGGAGAAATTCAATGTTGTAAGTTGTGGGGAAGTCATTCATTTAATCTTCATGTTTTAGCAAGCAAAGAACATCCTCCAAGCTCTGTTAGGGAAAATATTTTCTTTCATTAATGTACCTAGGACAGAATTGATGTTCGAGTGGTGGAGAACCAGCATTCTAGATAGGCAATCTGTGGCCAAATTCTCCTTGGTTCTGCAAAAATTTTCTTCATATTGACAGGCATCCTTGAATTACCATTATACCTTTGACAGTTCATTCTTAGGAGGCATTTTCTTAGAAGACTTTCACATGATAGTTTCCCCAGAGATGGTGGTGACTTCCCTAAAGGCTTATAATTGACTACTTTGTGCCTACCATTAAAGACTTATTTATCTTAGTATATTTTACTCTCAGAATATATGCAGAAAATAGGCAGGGGAAAAAATGAAGAAACAAAATTGTTTACTAACACACATAACTAATAATAAAACCCAAAATGAATTCACCAGGAAAACAAAACAATACATAAATTCTTTGCAGACAGAACATAAGTTTTGCAGAAGTCTTAAGAGTATGCACAGGAAGGACAAGGTCTTGGACAATAAAGAAACTGCCTGAAAAGCTAAAGTATTTTATACTCCTGAGAGAGATATAAGGCTTTTTCTTTATGGTGTCTATAATCAATCAAAATCTCAGATAATGTTAAAAAGACATGGGAAATTGAGAGCGCACAATAGATTTCTTTATTTTTTCTTTTAATTTATTTTTACATTTTTCCACAAACACTTTACACATCAAAAAATTTTAACTCCTACTCCATAGTTCTTGAAAGTTAACAACCAACTTTCAAAATTTCAAAATATTTCTTATAATTTTGTATAATTTTGTTCGTGACTCTGTAACAACAGAAACAGTACAGTTTTAAATATTTTTGAGAAAATATTTACATGTCACCTACTCAAATTGCTGAAAAGCAAATGCCCAGCACACAAGTCACACATAAACCTTCTCAATTCATCCCTGCCCAAGGGTATTCTGTGATATACCATCTGCTCGCAAAGATTAGACTCTTTCTTCCTTCGAAGTCTTTCTCAAGATAATTCTCTGGTGTGGTTTCTTTTTTGCAATACCAAAGCAGAAAGTGTGAGCTTTGGAAGTAGATAGTTCAAAAGGCTCATTAAGTATGTTCACTTGATTCCAGGGGTTTTTGATTTATATCTGAGCTGAACTCACTCACCTTCCTGACCACCAAATGTCAACCTCTATATAAAAAGAAGCACAAAAGAAAATGAAATTTATTTGGGAAGATGTATTGCAATGTGAACATGGATGCAATAGTAATGTACAGGTTTGTCCAGGGAGGTAAAAGAAGACAAGAGTTTTTAGAAGAAATGTGAAGAGGGATTACCAAAATTGTTACAGAAAAACTAGCCTTTGATACCTGAATCAGTAACAAGGTTGGAATCAGTTTAAAGTTAGGTTGGAAGTCTGGGGCAGATGTACTCAAAGAAGTGTTTTCTGAGTAGAGTTGCAGTGATCTTTGTGCAAGGTTGTAGTACTGGCAGAGTCTAAGTGACCATTCTTGTTAACAGCCATATGTGCTGAGAACTGCCCATTTATGGCTTTCCTGTGTCCATGTATCTCAGAATTAAACACAAGTTGACAAATTTCTAACAACTTTAAAATTCTATTCATGTTTTCCTCTATCATATTACATACATTTAGTCTTCAACCTTATTCAACTTAGCATCACAAAGCATTGATCATGATTTCATGTCATCTTTCCATAAAAATCTGCTTTGGGGAACCAGCAGTTAGCGTAATGGCTATGTCGCTGGACTCCCACTTAGTCGACTGCGGTTCATGTCCCGGACCCGGTCGCTTAAAACTCATGCCGGGTGCGTGTGCATGCGAGCCCAAGATCCCAAGAGGAGAATGGAGGAGAAGGGATTGCGGCGTGACCATCTCTCCTGGGGGGTGATTTTTCGCTTTCTGTCTCTATGTCTCTCTCTGTCTGGTGAGCGCACGCGCCCTATAGTAAAAATCTCTCCAAAAAAAAGGTGATAAAAATCCTAGGGGATGCTGATGATACATTAAATAATATTTATAAAGTTCTTGGTACCACTTAGTAAACAGTTTAGACAGAAGAATGCTTACCATGTAATCCATAATTAGATGCCTAGGAACTACCAACATGAAAGATGTGGGGAGACACAGTGATTACTGTTTGCTAAAGGTCTAACTTACTCTCTTATAAAAAGATACAGTCATCCTGTCAAAGCTGCTGATGTGATAAATGATGACCAGTGGTTCTCTTTTCCCCTCAGGTTCCTCTGTCAGTGTGTAGTCAGAGGTGTGGTCCAGGATTCAGAAAAATTCCAAAGAAAGGAAAGCCTCCCTGCTGCTATAGCTGTGGTTTTTGCCCAGAGACAGAGATTTCTAATCAGACAGGTAGAAAAATGATAACTGCTATGATAGCTCTACCCACTATTTCTCAATAAAAATAAAATCAAGAATATTGACATTGGGATCATAGTGCACCTTTATTTTCAATTGATGCTTTCACTCATTCTTTTTTAATGTATCCATTTATAAAACTATTGCTACCTCATTATGTATAAGTTCTTATCTGGCTGTGCCAATCCAAATAGGCTCAACTGTAGCACTGATTCTAATGTGTATCTTTCTTTACCATTTATTGATGGAAGATACACTTTCAGTCTGCTATCTCACAGTGAATTATACTAAAGTTTAGAGCAAATTTAAGTTGTATAATCATCAAAGTTATCCGTGTGTGTGCTTACATGGTTTAAAATAGATGTTTTTCATATCTGAAAGGTAAGCACAGAGGAAGAGCAAAAATATTGTTATGGAAATATTTTATACATTTGTGTACCAGTTCTAAACAGTTATTAATTGTGCATTATTAACTAATACCTGGATCATTTAATGTGGAATACAATAATATAGAAAGGAAGAGAAGTACATTTTTAATTAAAGCTTATTTTTTCTTCCATAATCAAGAGATACAGAGAGGAGAGATACAGCTCCCCAACAGGTATGGATGTAGCAGTCCTCATCTAGCGTTAGCCAGGCATAGGTCATAATCACTCACGTGCCTAATGTACTCAGAGAGGTCTTCGTATACAAACCTGGGGACCTGTTAGTGTGCATCAGTCTTGCAGACCTTTGTATTTTACCACTGGGTCTGAGAAACAATTTAATAAATAGAAAAATTGTGGCAAGCAGATGGCATAGAAGTTATGTCGTTTGACTACCACATGACTGATTGCAGGAAGAGTCCCAGACCTAGTGGCTTGAAATTCACACTGAGCACATGTTCATGCATTCCCAAGAACCCAGGAGAAGAATGAAGTGTGGTCATCTTCCCTGAGGAAAAGGTGATTTCTCACTTTTCCTCTCACTGTCACTGTTTCTCTCTCTGTCTTTCCCCGGTTAGCACACACGTCCTAAGGCAAAAATTGCTCTCTTTAAACAAGGAAGAAAATAGACAAACTACGTAGTAAAAGCATAGTCTAGTAACTTTTCTAAT